ACTAACGTTCCTTAGGATATTAATCAGAAAAATTGCTTCAAATTTCCCATTCTCTGATATAAGTTAAAGAAATCTGTTGATGGGAATTTTTCCAGGATATATTTATTTCCCAACACTACCTTTCCTTCTTCCACATTTAAAATTTTACACTGCAGTGGATAAAATCTTTCAAATAATTGTGTAAAACATGTAAAATGGTTTCTTAAAATTATCTAAAAATTTCATATGATATATTTTTTTTTCCTTTTTGTCTTTTTCCATGTCCGGCAACGGATTGCAACCCTCAGTGTTGCGCCCGTACCGGACCGGGACCGGCAACAGGATCGCAACCCTTGGTGTTGCTCCCGCACCTCGCTCAGCCAGTGAGCGGGAACAGGTCTGTATGTGGGATCCGAACCCTCGGCGGGAGCGCGACCACGCTCCCAAGCGGCGCACTGTAGCAGTGCGCCACCGGGCCAGCCCTCATATGATATTTTTAAAACTTTGATTAGTAGGCCCCAAATTAAATCTACCTCTAGTTTCTGTTGCTCCTGTTATAATTTCTATTGGCAAATGTTAGAAACATTGTCAAAAATGGAAAGAAAAGGGCCGGCCCGGTGGCGCACTGGAGAGTGCGCCGCTTGGGAACGTGGCGGCGCTCCCGCCGNTCTCTCTCTCTCTCTCTCTCTCACACACACACACACACACTCACACACACACACACACACATACACACACACACTCACACAAAGATAATGCTCTTCCCATATGACTTCCTATACATTTTTTTAAAAAGTCATTGTTGTTCATACAATTCTTAAAAAGCAAGATAGATTTAAAGAATAATCTTAAAAGAAAGGTATCCAGCATTTACCTCTGTATAATGAGGAGGAACAGAATGAAAATCAGTTGGAAATAGGCACTCCAAAAACTCCATTTGCCCAATGGACATATCAGTACTAAAATACCGGGAAGCTGATCTTTGTCTTTGTTCATAGGATACTTTGATGCCAGTACCTATAAACCTGTTATTTAAAAATGCAGCACTGAAAAGTATCCACATACTTCTAGTTTAAAAAATGTATCATAACATATTTATTCTACGGCAACATAAGTAGTCAAGGAATAGTACACAAGTGCATTGTACATAACATATAATAATTACCCACCTATTCTGGCAAATTCAAGTTGTTAGCAGTAACTAACGTTCCTTAGGATATTAATCAGAAAAATTGCTTCAAATTTCCCATTCTCTGATATATGTTAAAGAAATCTGTTGATGGGAATTTTTCCAGGATATATTTATTTCCCAACACTACCTTTCCTTCTTCCACATTTAAAATTTTACACTTCAGTGGATAAAATCTTTCAAATAATTGTGTAAAACATGTAAAATGGTTTCTTAAAATTATCTAAAAATTTCATATGATATATATTTTTTTCCTTTTTGTCTTTTTCCATGTCCGGCAACGGATTGCAACCCTCAGTGTTGCGCC